AAAAGTAAAAAAAGAAAATTTGCCGGAAGTCCGGAATTTTATTACATTGATGCGGAACAATGTTCTACCAAAGTTTTGAGATCATGTGCATGTGTATTACTTTGATACAATTGATACAATCAAATTTTCATCTGAAAGCGCAAGGCTTTGCAAGATTGCACGTTGTAATAGTTGTTTCCGAAATAAATATGGTATTTAAAATGGTTATAGCTAAAACAGTTAATCTGGAATGAATATTTTTAACATAGTCAGAGGAGGTGATGATTTTACGAAGGAAGATCCCAAAAAAGAGTACGGCTGGATACATCTTTGGTACTTTTACAATTAAAGAAGGTTTCGGTCATAATTTAATAATAATAAATAAAACGTTTATGCTAACAGTCAAATTATTGGAGTTTCATTCATTTTACATCATGTGATTTTTAATTAAAATGATCCGCATTAAATTCTTGAATTGCAAAGAAAATATGGTACTCCCACAACTTACTGCGCCACAGTGACGTTTTTGTTTTGTCATGTGATATTGTTTAGTTATTCCATAAATAGTAAAATCGACAATATCGTATTACCTAATATGGATGTGCTCACCAATTAAAAAAAAAAAAAAACGGCAGTTATTGGGTTAGCATGGTAAATATGTGTGCAACTTTGTGGCTTGGTCTCCATGATCATGATAACGTGACATATCAACAAAAATGAAAGTCTCAGTTTCAAAAAAAATTACGATTTGTTTTTTTTTTTGGTATTACATTTCCATTTTTGGAGTACTAAATGTCTTGCACTATAATAATAAAGGCATTTAATAGTGACGATTTCCGAAATTTTGAATGATGCTATTCTCAAATTAATATCAATTATACATAACCATACATATTATATGTAATATGTTTAATTGTTCTCTATTACTAACACCGACACAAAAGTTCCAACTTCATATCATATTAATTTCTAACCATGGAAAAAAATTCTAAATAATAATAATCATTAATATTGCCGATCTAAATTAACGGTTTCAATATTTCCGTAATCAATAATAATAATAATAAATCAATGTTTATTTTGAGTTAATTTGAAGTTTGGTTTTCTAGTCATTGAGTTTGGGTTTCTATGCGGTCTTTTTCTTCAGTTAATTCTTGAATGATGAATGATTGGTTTCTTGATTAATTTGGGTCTTTGGTTTCCAAATCCCTGGTAATTTCTGATAATAATTATACAATATATGATAGAAAGAAAAGATAAACTGTGTTTCTTGTGACTTCACGAAGAGAAAATCTCAAAGCCTCAATGTCGAACTAGAAGGGGAAAATTTTCTTTCTCTGAAATCCGCCCCAATTCAAAAAGTCGTTCATTCATTACCAAAACGACATATAGAAAGACAGAATAAATATTAGTATTAGTAGAATATTACAACACAAAATCAACTCATTTCTATGCTTGGTTAGTTCCTAAACATGCTACTAATATTAATAGATTATAAGCCATTTAGCTCGGAAAGGCGACTGTTGCTGTAAGAAGCGAAGCAATTGCTAAATTATACATTGAAATAATAATTAATAATCACCAAGTAGAATTTACCTACATGGACATAATAGATCCTATAATTTGTGTCTCAAAGTATTTATTAAAAAAAAGTATTGAATTAAGTTAAATTATCACGATTTCTTTTGTGTATCCTTAATTTCAGTAATAATAATAATAATAATAATAATTTATTTTTATTATAATAATAATGATTATTATTATTTATTATTATTATTTAAAAAAAAATTTTTTATAGAATAAGTTATTAATATTTTTTTGTATATTGTTAATATTAATATTATAATAATTATATAATTATAATAATAATAATAATAATAATAATAATAATAACAATAACAACAATAATAAAAATAGGAAGTGGCTGGGTGTAATTAATTTCTTTAATCAATTACATAAATAACTAATGTTCTAAAAATGATTTTTTCTTCATTGATTGATTATAGACCTGTGCCAATGAAAACTCTTAAAGATCGAGTAGATTATTGGGTGAAACGAATTATGGATGATGAAAAGGATAAAGGCAAGGAAGAAGAGATGAGAAATAAAGATAAAGATAAAGATAAAAATAAAAATAAAGATAACGAAAGGGAAAAAGAAACATAGTAAAAGAGAATGTTGACTGCAACACTATCATCAAGAATCAAATAGTGGTGATAGTGTCAATGGTAATAGTTTTTAGTTAGCGAAGGTATTAGTAGTAGTAGCAGTGGGAAATAGTAGTAGTAAGTGAAGGTGGCGGTGCTGGTGGTACCAGTAAATAAGAAACATCATTGTTTTTACTTATTTTTACTTATATTTAATTGCTAATTTAATTTCAATCTTTTTCTTAATAATAATAATTAGTGGAAGAATGTTAATTAATTAATTAGATTTAGATTAGATGTACATAATAAAAAATATTTCGTGAATAAAATAAGCTAATTAACAAACAGATAATAATAACACGCAATCATTTACACAATTATTGACATATACATACGCAAAATATTATTTATTTATTAAATAAGCTATCAAACATATTTCAATAATCTTCATAAAAATATATAATATATAAATGATTATTGAATGGTAACTACTTGATCATTCTCAATATCCTCAATGTGTTCAGATGCAGCAGCAAATGATTCGGCTGAAAAAGAATCTATGAATTTACGTGTGTGAAAATGCGTAAGAATCCGTCAAAGCTAAAATAAAATATAACAAATCATAAATAATATAAATCAATTAAAATGCTTACGAGCTGTATTATCTGGAATGGTGTACATTAAAGTTAATCCTGTTAATTTGGTTCTACCAGTAATTTGACCTCCTACCAAGCATGTAATAATAATCGTAATAAATAAATATTTATTGTTTTGTTTCTACAAACAAAATTAATATTAGAAAAGGTTACCTTGGGCTTTGATTTGTTCTTCCACTTTATTGACAACCTCTTCTGGTGTACCTTTCTTGAATCTCATAATTTTCTTACCTATGGAATTACAAGTATTTTCATTGTTTGATTAACCAACACAAAACACAAATATAATTCATTCGTCATATTTATTGATTCATTTTTTTACCCATTTTTTTTTAATGCGTTGTTATATATCGTTAGAAAAATAATATATATTTTTATTTTTAAATTATAAAAATTAGAAGGATAAAAAAGGGGAAGGAATAATTCCTATGGTTTTTATATCTGCTGTTATTTATTAATTATACTAAAATTATACTAACTATTACTCGATTTGAGATTTGAAGTCGTCATAATAACAAATTGATATATTCTGGGCCTAATTAAATCAAAATCAAGTAAGGCACGTACATACATAATGCTGATCGATATAAAAAAATCACCATTTTAACCAAAACATTAAGAACAGAGCGTTATTTTTAATATTAATAAAAAAAAAATAAAGGTTGATGTTTTTTTAAAAGAATAACCAAACATGCTAGAGCAAAAGTTTTATTCGATAAGGTCTTCTTGAACCATAATAATAATGTTGCAAAGGATTTTTTAAATTTTGTTAATAATAAACAAAAAAGCTATAAAAGTTAATAAAAATCCGCATATATATCAATAAATAATAATAATAAGGAAAATAATAATTAGATTAGATTTAGATTTTATGATGCGCTGAACAGGTCAAAAGGTTAAGTAAATGTCACAATTAATTGTAACATGTGGGGAATTTCTGGAAAATGTGTTTAGTATTAGGGACCGTTTACTCAAAAATTATTATGTTCCTAACCACATTTTGTCAGAAATCACCCCATGTAACAACAATGTTTTAGTAAAATTGTGTTACACCACAATAGTAAAGCAAGTGTAATTTGGCAGATGAAATTCTATTATTATTATGAATTAAATTATAATGATTTATGATATCGATATAATCTTTTTCGTATTAATAATCTGGTTTTAAATAAACAATTCTATCTTTTTGTAATAAATTACATTTTTTTTATTTTATTTCTTAGTATGCAAAATAAATATTTGAATTTTGTTATTCCCATAGAAGCTTAAATTGCCGATCCGTGAATGAACCAGAGAATTTAATGGTGATCGGCGGGGCAAAATTTCAAAAAAATTGTCAATTAAC